GGTGCGGGCTCTGAGATTGTACACTACGCGCGCTGCCGCGTTCAGACGCGCTGAGCAGCTTTTCGTGTCGTTTGGGGGGCGCACCAAGGGTCTGGCCGCCTCAAAACAGACACTGTCTAGATGGATAGTGGACGCTATCGCCTCTGCTTACGCATCTAAATGCCTGCCCTGCCCTCTGGGCATCAGGGCGCACTCCACTAGAGGCATGGCCTCATCGTGGGCATGGTCCTGTGGAATTTCCGTTCATGACATTTGTGTGGCCGCGGGATGGGCCTCCCCGTCCACTTTTGTCAGGTTTTATAACTTGGAAGTTCCCGCCTTGCAGGCAAAATTACTAGCTGTCTGACGAACAGCTCTCTAAGAAGCTGCATTTCTGGAGGTCCCTCACAACCGGTTCGCCCCTTGTGCTCTCCTGTAATGCTTATACACTTCATGTGCCCGCTCTGCTGGCCCCATACATGCTTATGTGTACACTTCATGAGCCCGCTCTGCGGCCTCTTTGTACATTCACTCCACGTTAAAAAATTCCCCCGGTATATCCCTGGGTTTTTTTCATGAGTGGATTCGTAGCGCGCACGGCGTTGGCCAGGTGTTCCCGCAGCGTAAGCTAGCTTACGCAATACGAGAGAACCTCTCGTAAGAGAACGAATCGGTTACCTAACGTAACCTCGGTTCTCTCTAGAAGAGGGAACGAGTATTGCGTTCCCGGCCGTGCTTGCGCTACTAGCGTTTCGCTTCACGCTGAAATAAATCAACATATAAGCCTGGGAGAGCTCCTTATATACACCATGGCCACGCCCATTCTGGCGGGTCATGACGCAATGAGCGCGCGGGCGCCTCTCATTGGAAGCGGGTTCAGCCCCGCTCTCCCATAGGCTTAAGCAGTTCTCTCTGAGCGATCCAATGAGCTGCTAGCTAGCCCGCTCTAGGTCTGCCGCAGAGGAACTGCGTTGTGTATGGATACAAAATTATGAAATAATTTTTTGGCTTCAATATCTCAGCAAAGATGAATCTTTCCCGCAGCGTAAGCTAGCTTACGCAATACTCTTTCCCTCTTCTAGAGAGAACCGAGGTTACGTTAGGTAACCGATTCGTTTTTCACCAGGAATTCTTCTCACCAAAAATGGTCTCCAGAAGTGCCCGTGAAGCAAAAATAGCATAATCTTGCGTACTAAAGACGAACGACTACCACTGAGATGAATGGGAACGGATTTGCTTTCTTCAGCATTAGAAGCATTTTTGAGAGATAAAGGGAGACATAGATTTGCCTAAAACCCAGCGTTCCTTCAAATGAACAATTATGTGTTATGTGACTCTAAGCGCTTATGAAAGATAAAACCACTTCTGACGGCAACTAAACTAATTACTCATGAGAAAATGCAAGAAACTGAAAGCAATATCTGCTATATAAAAAAAGCTGTTATCAGGGGATGTTTATGAACCAGAATATTCCATTTCAGATCCAATCTCAATTGTTACAGCTAGAGGAAAATTAGGCTTTTTCGTCGTTCTAAGAATGCACAATGGCCCAAAATTGCTGTGACACCTCATGCAACTTGCATGAATAAACATCTCAGTCAAAAATCACACCGCTGTGTGTTGTAATGCGACGCTGTTGGGCTTTTGCGTGTACATTGTGTTCATTAATTTAGCTAATTTGTACAATATCACTGAGAAAACAAAAATAATTCCTGTATTGACACAGCTGTCAAGTGATCAAGCCGCATCCATCCATCAATCCATCCATGCATCTGTTTCTGTAATCATATCTCCACCTGTTCCCAGCGCGTTATATTTTTTTCGGGGTGCTCGCTGACAGTGACGGCTTCAGAAATGATGAAATGCAATGAAACACGAGCGACAGACACAGAGAGACATGTTAGTTGTGCTTATTCATTCACTCGCAAACCCAGGGAATTCGTACCATCAGAGAGAAACATCGACACAGGGAGAGAGGCGAGATGACAGGTAAACAGGAGAGACACTGTGGCATATCTACGGAAACTTCACTCCGTGCTGCGGCAAATATACGCGGGGAAACAAACAGTCTAGGAACATGAGGGTGACAGTATTAAAGAAAACAGCAGACGACTTTGATTTGCATCCAGAGCTGTGTCTGTGTCTTCCCTTCATTTTCCAAAACAAAAGAGGGCGGCCGAGTTACGCAACAACGCACGCGTCTGCGCAAATCCGCAGTGATGATTGTTTTCACAAAGCTGGCTGACAGGCCTTTGAACTGCGGGAATCCGCTGACATGTGAAACGCGTTGTTTCGCACATGCATTCTAACAAGCAGCACCTTGCACTGGCACAGTTGATTATACAGCAAACACGAAGTTGGCTTTTAGTGCACAAATGTGTGAACTGAGAGGAAGATGAATTGAAGTAATGAATAAATCCTCTTACAGCAACTATAACAGCGGTGAATAGCAGACATGATGAATTTAACATCGTATTCACTTTGAGATACTTCAGCTCAAGATCATTTCAAACACACTCATAAGTGCTGGAAGTAGAGTGTGAAGAGAGTAACCAAAAGAAAAAATTGGATTGTTACACTTGCTAAAGAATATGCGAGTGGTGTTTGCCAGTGTAAAATTCACTGCCTTGATGCTAGAATGTTTTGGGGCATTGCCTAATGGTTAATAGGGTGTTCTGGGTGGTGTTGCTATACAGTTGCAGTTACAGTGGTTGGTAGGCATTGGTAGATGGTTGCTATGGTGTTGTTATACAGCTTCTAGGGTGTTCTAGGGGGTTGGTAGGACATTGTGAGATTGTGCACGATGCACTAAAAACAGAAACGTTTTTCTTTGTGGGATCCGCGGAAACGACAAAAAATGCCGTATTATTCACGCCAGGCCAGTAGTTGGCGATGTCACTTTGTAAAGAAACACTACGTGCCTACAGACTGAACAGGTAATACGCATGACATCACAGGTTTCACAAAATCACGTTTTGTGGTTTACACGGAGACATTAATGGTTTAGTTTTCAAAAACTTGCACTTTGAAACCCGTTTTGAAATGTTTGTGTTTTCAGGCCCCCAAAATGCCATTGTCATGTAAATAAAGGGCCAAAACGCATAAAAAGTTTTCAGTTTTTGTTTTTTGTTAAAATAAGGGTGGATTCGAATACACTGCTAGGTAGGCAATACTTGCCACTATTGTGTTTTGGGTCATTGTCAAGGTATGTGGTTGCTAAGTGTACCACTTGTGTGTGTGTGTGTGTTTTGCATTTGTTAGGGTGCTGTGGTTGGCTAGTAAGGTACTGCTAACTGGTTAATAGGATGTTCTGAATGATCAGCACAGCTAGGTGGTAGTAAGGGTGTTGTGGTTGGTAGCTAGGACATTGCTAATTGATTTCTAGGGTGTTCTGGGTGGTTAAAGCAATGGTTGTGTGTTCTAGGTGGCTATCTGGTTTCCTACTTCAGTCTTTTTGAACTTGAACCAATTCAATTTTGAACTTGTCGCATTCAAGAGCTTTGTTGTCAGAAAGAATAATGATCATGAAGGACACCAGGTTTATTTTTGCCTATTTCTTGGGGAAATCTTATTAAAACCAAAATGATTTGATGATATTTCATTTTAAAGAAAATGTAGAGTCCCATTCATTGACAACCATGTAAACATTCACCACGCTATTTTGTAATTTCAGACAAATACGTGCAATGTTTGCTGTGTATAAAACATTCTGTCAGGGTTCTGTCACTTCTGAATATACAGCAATCGTTCTTTCCTCCGCCTTATCTAAAGTTTATGGCTTATAGCTTTATAGCTTTTGAAACTCAGGTATCAAAATGATCCCAGAATTTTCCAGTAGTAAATACGACTTGAGATGGCGTCTAATTTCAAACAAGGAAACTCGTAATTATGATAATTCCAATAGCACGTGAAGGCAGCATTAACCTAAAGGCTGCGTCCGAAAGCTTAGGCAGTGTCTTGTTGCCTCGCTGCCCTAGAAATGACATCAGAAGAGGAAAACGTTGGTCAAAAACGTACATTTACACACAAACTGACCAACAACAACAACCACAACTTTCAGATGCCATCTTTATTTTTTAGCTCAACTGTCACATTGTGGGATATCAAAGGCAGAGAAGGATACATCTATATGCTGCCTTCAAATATCTATCAGATGCAGGTATCTCAGGAGACAGAAAGTGAAGCTAACATTGGATTTGGATGTGCCTTGATGGCGTCCTACCTTGGAACGCATCTTCCCGAAGGCAGCATTTTTAAGCTTTCGGGCGCAGCCCAAGTCTCTATAAAAAAGGTAGCCAACCAAGAGCAGGTTTCTGTATACTTCAGCTCCAACCCTGCTCCAACACACCTGCTTGTTATTTCTAAGTAATCCTGAACACGTTTATTAGCTGGTTCAGGTGTGTTTGATTAGGGTTGGAGCTAAACTGCAGGATGGTATCAATGTTGGCTACTCCTGCTTCACTAGATACAAGTCCCATCTTCAATTTCTACAGGATTGTTTGACTTGTTTTATTGTCTGCCAAACACAATTGTTCAATTGCTTTGAAAACCAATAGCACTTATCTCCTCAAAAAGCTGCATGATTTTACCTATGAGCAATAATAATAGTGATGCTTGACCCATGAATGAAGTAAACGAAAGAAACATACTGACATATTCTCAACTGTAGTAACAGATAATCCCTCTGAACTGTGCATAAATACATCAAGTTATAAAAAAAGATCTTTGGCTGTTACATTGCTTGGCAATCCTAAACCGCCTGCAGTTAGACTAATGAACTTGATGGAAGAATTTGAGGAACATCTTTTATCAGATCAGACTTTTATAAAATCAACAACCCATTTCTGCTTCACACCTTATTTAATAACACTTCATAACTGCGGTCAAATTACTGAAACAGCCTCTTGTGTCTAGTTGCTTTATTTCAGTAGATTTAAACGTTTGTCTTTGGCTTGCACCATGTGGAGACTAAAGCAAACAGAGTCATAATATATAGAGAGAAATGAAAGACAAACACTAACCGTTCTCTTTGCATTCTTCAGGGGGCTTCGCTTTCTTCGCAAGCCGGGGGTCCAACCAGGACGTCGTCTTCGTATTGTGGCTGGAGAGGAGAGAAATGGAGCAGAAAGGGAAAAGAGATGAAGAGAAAGAGAGGGAGAAGAGAGTGCTGCAAACTGCTACTGTAAATCATCACACTGAGGAGACGAGAGAGACTGAAATGAAGTCTCAGGAGACCTCATCTCTAAACGAGGGTGAGAAAAAAGTTTAGCTTAACAAAACGGCAATCGATACTTTTAATTAGCTGTAAGCTTCTCATTAGCACAGCAAGAAAGAGAGGAGGAGGAGAGAGATGTCGAGGAAGATGTGACTGACTTACTGTATGAGGGAGGAGAACTGAACACGAGCAGCGATTTCATTAAACAGTTTAGTACACAATGTTTTTTTTTGTCATCTGAGACCAATTTCAGGAATCATAAAAAAATATATTTCGAAAAAAATTGGCAAAACTGGCAGACTGTAGTGTCACATGCTAACCGACAGCTAATTGCCTTTGCAATGAATCTTAGCCTCCAACAAAGTTCTGACAGTATCTGAAATGTTGAGTCATAGTCCTGCGGCGTGACTGCTCCTATGACGGCCATCTAAGAAGAACCAATACGACTACGGCAACTGATGACGCAAATGTGAGAGACATTCTAATTAAAATGTTTATATTTTTTCTATATCTTTCATTCAACATTAGATGTTCACACAACATCTTGTTAATTAGCCAATTACACTAATTAATGTTAGTTTCGTTGAGTTGGCTGTGAAGTATAAGCAGTCCACATATTCCCTCTTTTACCCAACCATGACAGCAGACAGTTCAATTTATTTAAATTTTTGGCAAACCATTGTTTACATTAGCAAAAGGGAAAGTTTGGTTTTTATTTTCGTTTGTCAAAGTGGAAGCCAGATTTTGATAAAAAAAAATGTATGTAAAAAAAAAGAATGGAATCGGAAGATGTTGCAGATCAGGTTAGAACCTGCATCTCTTGCATAAGCTCAACTCAAGCCGCATTTCCACTGTCGGGCCGAACGGTTCTAAGAACGTTAAGGAACGGTTATGTTTCCACTTGAGCCTGGTGCAACACGGCATGATTACAAACTGTTCTCGGCTTAAAATTGACCTATGGCTAAGCCACGCCCCCTCCACTCACTCGGACAAACAGTCAACATTCGCTGACAGGCGCTATGGCAGCTGTCACAGTAGGAGAGATTTCACGGGAGGCAATTGATGATTTTTGGAGACAGAAAGATTATATATCATCTCGAAGTCACCAAAAGGTGATTAACCCTTGTGTTCTGTTCGATTTCTGTGTACTCCCCTTATGGACCGGGTCAAATTGACCCTAATTGGATTCAATACAATTCCTCAAAAATCACACTATGAAAAACAACAAAGATTTAGATACAAACTGTAAACTTTTAATATCAACATTTGTCAAACATTACAAAAACATTATGTCTGAAAATATGATTTATGAAAATGTTTTTAAATTTTTTTTGAACAGTTTTGTTTTGACAAAATTGGAAAATAAACAGTTTTTTTTTTTTTTTTTTTTTTTTTTTTTTTTTTTTTACATTTTATGCTTTGAACAATGATTTCGTTGAAATGAAATTTTTCATTTTCCTAAGTTAACTTTCCCTAGTTTTCCCTAACTTTCCCTGAGACCTATTTTCCTAGTTTCATTATTCACTCACTGGGAAGTGAGAAACCAAACATAACAAAATCATACATCAAATAAATGTTTTTTATTTATTTTTTGGCTCTGTGAAGCTGCCTTTGAAGATCCTACATACAAGTTTTGGTTAAAAGCTAGGTATTTTAGATATCTTGAATATTGAAATGAGAGCTTATTTTACTATCTGTGTCTGACAAAGATTTTCATCTGTAATTTGCAAATAATTCTGAACACTGTAATTTTAGCTTTTTCAAGTGTGTTTGGTTAGGGTTAGAGCACTTCTAGATCAACTTGCACGTTAGAACTGGAGTTGAAGTGCCCTGACATACAGAAAATAAATGTTTTTATTTTGTGTCTGTACAGTTGCTTTTGAATGGCTGTCTATGAGGGTCAAATTGACCCGCGAACATCACAAACGTAACAGTAATTTTGTTTGTATATGTCAAAACACATCAGCATGTTGAAACTTTGCATGCATGTTCATCATGATAAATGAGAAAAAGTCACAAAATATCAAGAAAAAAAAACAAAGGTTAACCAGTATATTTCCAACAACTTGAAAATCGAAACGGGTCAAATTGACCCGCAACATAACACAAGGGTTATGCATTGGAGGGTTATATTAATAATTTTATTGTTGAGAAGGTCGATGAAAAGCTTCAGCTCCAGGCAAAAATGTACAGGTCACAGTGTAAACGTGATAAACCGCCTCTCGTTGCCATCACCATCTCAGACAACAAGATAGAGGATCAGCATTGTTCATGCACTGCAGTATTTACATGAATCATTCAGCACAACATTGCAAACATTTGTTATCTCGGTTATTTATATACGTTTATATACCGAGTGTCGGAGTTGCATGTACCCTAGTCTCAGCCTCAGACGTCACGCCCACGGAACGTTGGCTAAACGTCTGATGCATATGGTACACTTAACTGGAAACACTTCAGGAATGTCGAAGTCGTCATCTGATTGGTTGAATTTTATCGGATTTCCGGGGGGCGCGAGTGTCCCGTTTATTTTCGGTCCGCCGGGAAACAAACCGCAGACCGTCTATGGTGCAGACGTGTGATTGCGGAAGAAAAACTGTTGTGTTTACATGAGTGACAATGAGTATTTATCAAGATCAGCTAAACGTAGGATTAAACTACGCTACGCGAGACTACATGTACCCCATGCACACCGTTTGACCATTTTAAACTTAAAATGACAAGAAGAAACATATAAAAACGAAAGAAAACTGACTAACTGCAATGCATTTCAATGGATGTGGAAGCAGAGAATGTCCGAGTGTATTGGGTTAGCTATGTGCACTGATTGGCTCATCGCATTTGGGGGGCGTGGCTTAGCCATAGGTCAATTCTCAGCACGGTTGGCTAACCGTACTGAACCGTATTGGTAGAATGCGTGCAGTGACGTCGCCACTCATGATTGGTCACTTGTCTGTTGGTTGGATACCGGTTTCACTGTATAGCTCACTAATCGTGCTATTTGAGCGACGTAAACACAAATTAATAATACAATTTAAATAAATATCTGATCATACTCCAACTTGGCATGATGCTCAACAGCAATGCTAAAAAATGCTTCCCATTCTTATATTGTATTATAAATGTATGAAATGCTGACAAATTTAGCAAGAAGCATTTTTGTTCATGCATTCTTTGCATTTACTCAACTCAACTAAAAAATGGAACCTTTTTTTTAATTTGCTTTACAGTACACATTCAATCACAATATAACATCCTATAAATACCAATAAATACAATACAAAAACTTAAAATCATATATCTATATTTTAAAACGTATTCAAAAGGTAAAGAATAAAAATGTGTTTTCAAAGATTTAAAAACGTCAAGCGGTGATAAGGGAAGCTTGTTTGGGGCATACAATAGCAAAATTCCTCCCTGAGAATTTTTTTGCACTCCTACTCGTGTGATATTGCTCATTTATTTATACACTTCAATTGCTTTTCCATATATTAGATTTTTGTCTCTTGTTGATAGCTAGTGTGTGTGTTCAATCTTTAAACTGTGACTGTACAGTACTTCTTTTCCACAGGGATAGTACTTATTTTCTGTTGTATCGTTCATGACAGAAGCTAAATATGACTGACTCCAAATGACGCGAGGGCAGTCCGTCACTGCTTCATGTAACACGGCACAACACAACACAACATGCACACTCACACACACAGTTTGAACTGGCCCACACAGTGTGACTATTGAGGATTTAATGGAGTTGTCAAGCAGCCAATTGCGCCTTGTTTTTCTCGATCTCCCTCACAGACGGAGCATCTTTAATTCTCAAACTGTAGACACTTCTCCATATGTCTATCTCTCACCATGCACACACACACTCATGCTGGACCATATTAATCATGACAAAATGTCTCTGTAAATGCATTCAGTCACATTCAAACTCCCAAAGCAACCGAACATAAGCTGTGGAAATGCACTGTGCCAATAGATTGTCCTTTGATACGCTTTTATATAAAATTAATTTTCTTTTCTGTAAGAGGGGGATGAAACAGTAAGAGAAACCAGGGAGGAAGACACACAAGGGCAGAAGTGTGGAGTGTCATAGACAGCGAGCACATCAAAGGTGCACCATCTTTTTGCCCCAGGCTGCAATTTCTCTGGCCAGTCGCTTGGCAGAGTGCCGTCATTCGAGTCCCATCACTGAGACAAGCGGGTCTACCTTTCTGCCACTGATCTCAGAGCTGTTTCTACTGCAACTGTAGACAAAAATGTTTCTCAGGGAGGAATGCACTAAGCTTTGAGACATGGTGAGTTATCCTGCTGGAAATAGCCCTCAGAAGCGAGACACAATGGTCATAACCGGATGGACATGGCCAACAACAATACTCTGGTAGGCTGTTTAAGGGGCACAAAGTGTGCCAAGAAAATATCCCTCACACCATTACACAACCAGGAGCAGCCTTAACCTTTGAGACAAGACAGGATGGATCCATGTTTTCACGTTGTTTACACTAAATTCTGACCCTAACATCTGAATGTCGCTAGCCTGGGAAAACCCAGACAACTTCCGGGCAAATTTAGATTTGCTCTGAAAGTTAGTCTGGCAAAGAGCTCATTCAAGCCCATTTCCAATCCGTCAAAATCGCGGCACCAATCAGAAACGTTGGGGCGGGCTTTACACGATGATGACAGCGCTGGGATTTTGAAGCAGATTTTGTAGCCTACATTACAAAGATGGATGCCGCCGTCGAACATCACTCGTTCGAATCAGCTATCGCGTCTGTTTTAAGCGATTTAAACGTTTCCTTTTTGTTAATGGGTCATTCCTACTGTAGCGCAGACGATGTTTCTCCGCCGCTCTGCATACGTCATCTCCTTGCGACGCCCCTCTGGAAATGATTTGTCTATGACGCTTTGCCAGACCATAACTCAGTTACAACTGAGAATGGTCTGGTTTTAACCAGGCTAGAATGTCGCAGCAGAAATCGAGACTCAACGTTTTTCCAAACTTCTATTGTTGAGCCTGTGTGAAATGTATCCTCAGTTTACTGTTCTTAGCTGACAGGAGTGGCACCCGGTGTGTCTTATGCTTATGTTCGACGTGTTGTGTGTTCAGAGATGCTCTTCCACAGACCTGGGTTGTAATGAGTGCTTATTTGAGTTACTGTTGCCTTATTATCAGCTCAAAACCAGTTGGCCATTCACCTCTGAACTCTGGCATCAACAAGGCATTTTCACCCAAAGAACTGCTGCACACTGGATATTTTCTCTTTTTTCGGACCGTTCTCTGTAAACCCTAGAAATGGTTGTGCATGAAAATACCAGTAGATCAGCAGTTACTAAAATACCCAGCCCGCAAAGGTTCATTCAGTATTTTTCCCCCCCAAAAAAGGTTTTTACATGGAGCAGGAGCAGAATGGGGAAGAAAGCTGATTGCATACTTAAATGCACACTTTAGTGACCCGGGATGCCTTCACAACCCTCCTCCTCATTCATTTTTTAACGTTAGACATCAACCTTCTTAGTATTCTTCAATCAATTCATTATAAATGTATTAAAGATTGCCTGTTTTCTAATAATTGTATAGGGTCGCTAACGAGCCTAGGTGTGTAACAGTTTAAGTATATATTTTTTTCTGCACAACAATAATTTAATCTTTGATGATTGAATAAGTTCAATTCACTTTTATTCTATAAGGTGGCAATGTCTGATACACAATGATGAAGTGACGTTTCACTCATAGTTACCGCAGGCAGAAAACAAAAGAATAGGAAGTATCATCAGCAAAACTTGAAATGGTTCAGCGATTTATTGCCGAGCAAGTACTGAACGCAATCAAATATTAGTGTCCCTTGATGGTGGTTCTGGTGAAGAAGCTGCCAGCGATCAAAATATTGATTTTAAAGATGATAGTTTTGAGAATATGTTGGAGATGTCAAATATAAGCCAGATGCTGAATGTACTGGGAAATGAGCCCTGACAAGGACTGAACCCTTCCAAGCTCCAAAAGGTAACAAAATATGCTTTATTTTATTCTTCTGTAATTGTTACTAAGGAGAGTTTTATATTATCGCAACAGGTAGAGATCCATCCGTGTTAGATATAGATCCGGGTCGCTAAAGACCAGAATACGCAATACTGATTGGCGAAACATTCATGCATCTAAGGGTTAAAATATGCAGTATATAACTTCTAATTCTAAATAATTTGAAATTATACAGATGGATAGAGATACTCACTCAATGAAGTACACTTCTCCTTTTTCAGTGTAAGCCATCTCCCAGTTATCTGGCAGTGGACCCAGCTCGTCATTCTCATCCAGTTTGGGGGGCGATTTTGGTGGTTCTGTCTCTTCTTTAGGGGCATCTGTGGAAGTCTCAGAGGGGCATGTGGTGGGCATCTCTCCTGAGGCGTCTGTACTCTTGTCTTCATGTTCACTGGACTCTAAAAAATGCAAGAAAATTAGAAAAAAATAGCTTTTGACAGAAGAAAAATGTACTGCAAAATTGTTTAAAGCTACACTGTGTGATTTTTACCCCCATCTAGCGGTGAAAAGGTATATGACCATCCAGTGAATATTAGTTTCTGTTCCTCTCAATTCCGATTTCGTTTTAACTCCTATGGTGGCCAATGTAGTCCAAGATTAACATGGCTTCCAGTTCGACCTCGTCCATGAGTGTTCCTTCAAGTGATGAGGTTATTTTAGAAAACTATTATAATTTGCAGTAATTTAATTTGTCAGGTAACATATAGGTTATGACATCTATGTAAAATGAATAATAGTTTTATGTTTTCGTTATTTTTTACCATTTCATTGCTAACATCAGTTATCAGGTTCCCAGACGAATGCAAGCTAATCTTAGTAAAGTAACTTTTATCATTGCTTCGCGAAAGGCGAAGCTTGAATTAATGGGTATGTCCCTCTTTGGCTAATGTACTTTCAAGATGGAGGGGCAACATGGCGACCGACATTAAAACCCCTTACCCGTATGTATTTTCAATGGCATATTATACACTCACGAGAATACTTTATTACTTGAACGAAGTAAATATACATAAATGAGCACATATATTTTTGAAAGAACTAAGTGTTTTTAGCTAAGAATAAACTAAAAAAGTTACACAGTGTAGCTTTAAACTAAATCTATAACCCTTTTAACAACTGCAGACCTACATCTCTGATTCAAACAGCTTTATCAATCAAAAAGAACCAGCCAATAGAAGTGGATAAACATGATGAATAGTGTAACTGAATTCAACAGAATAATCACCACGAAGAGCTACGCTTATAAAAAGAAAACTGTCAAATTTACAGAATCCAATATTTTGGGAGACGTCTCCAACTTTTAACAGCGCGGCTGGTGCAACTCTGAGTCCAAGACTACAGAGAAAACCGGTGAATGTGAGTGAGACAGACAGAGAAAATATTTATAAGAGAGAGAGAGAGAGAGAGAGAGAGAGAGAGAGAGAGAGAGAGAGAGAGAGAGAGAGAGAGAGCTGTAACTGAGATTTGAGAGTTTCTGAGAGAATTGAAAAGCAGGTCACTATAAGAGGAGCATGTTAGAAAGTGAAAAACAGAAGACTGTAAGAAAAAGAAGAACAGTCAGAGATGGAGTTAGTCGGACTAAGACGGTGAAATAAGAGTGGAGTGATTAAAATGGAGTCTGTGGTGATAAAGCAAGAGAGAGAGAGAGAAAAAGAGAGAACTGAACGTGTCCTAGTTTGAGTTATGGAGGTTGGAGGTCCCAAAGGAGAGGCGCAAAAGACAGATCGAGGGGAAGAGAGAGGGAGAGACGAAAGAAAAAGACACTGAATCCCATAACATTCACCAGTACTGATGTTTTAATCAACTGAGAAATGAGAGGACAGCTTCACTCAATCACACACACATAAACACACACACACACACACACACACACACACACACACACACACACACACACACACACACACACACACACACACACACACACACACACACACACACACACACACACACACACACACACACACACACACACACACACACACACACACACACACACACACACACACACACACACACACACACACACACACAACCTTGTGAGCTTTCTATCTAGACATCATTTCAAGGCATCAAGGAGTAGTCCTTTGTCACGCTTGGTGAATGAATTACGAATATTTTCCAGCCATATAATAACCATATATTTGTTTTATACACTGTAAATCCTGAAAAAGTACTTATATCTAAGATAAATAGGAAATATCTCATAGTAACCTCATGCGTCTCTTCAGAGATTTCATCAAAGTCTCAAATTGTGCTCAGATCTTTCAAGATACCAAACATGCAATGAAAAGTCTCTGAAAAGAGATTGCAATGCCAAATTATCTAAGCTATTCATATTATACATCTATTATATACTCTTACTTGCTGTCAAAAATGGTCTTATTGATATTCCCAAAGATTTTAAGAATAACTTTGAAGACAAACTTTACTGAATCATTCAGAACTCCATTAAAGTTACCATTAAACACATTTCACAAACTATTTTATGTCCTTAATGTGATGTATTTCTGAGTGAAACAATATATTAAACAATAAATAAATTGGGTGGGAATTAAGTTAGGCTACTTGACTAGGACATGGAGGCCGAAGGGTTAGTTCACCCAAAAATGAACATTGTCATTATTTGCTCACCCTTATGTCTTTTCCAAACCCATAAGACTTTGGTTTATCTTCTATACACAAATAAAAGTTAAATGGTAAAGCTCAACCATACATGCCTGAGGCGCGAGAACCAATGAGGTTTGTCCTCTAATGAGAACCGAGTACAGTTGAGCTTCCAATTACAATATATGATGTGTGTTGATCAAAGTTTCTATGTGAATAAAAGCCGAAATGAAATCAGTTTATCATATAGACCTTACGTAGCCCCGCCCCTTTTCAGCTATGTGCTCGTTGTGTTCCGTCTTCCGCTTTGTATTTCCACAGCATGAAGTTAAGATCTTACGGATTTATAAATGAACAGCTCGTTTTGAAATCTTCCCGGCCTACTGACATTTGTTATGACATCCGCTTAAAACATTACAATGGTGACATTGCAGGTGAACATTAGCAGGTGAACATTGGTCAGTGTAATTGTTTATAAAGTTGTATTTATGCCTTATTCAACACAGGGGCTTGTGTTAGCCTATGTATGTGTACTTGATGTCTTTTATATGTTGGAAACTGTTCTTTATGTTTTGTATGCTGCGTCTCTTGGCCAGGTCTCTCTTGTAAAAGAGATTTTAATCTCAATGAGTTTTCACCTGGTTAAATAAAGGTTAAAAAACAGATAAATTATTAAAAAAATATTTTGGAGTGAAAGATTTTTCTCTTTCGACTGGCATGGATCATGCACAATAAGGCCAGGAACTTTTATTAAGAAAGTATTAAGAAAGTAAATGGGGTCAATTTTGAATTCATGTTGAATTTAAGTGCACTGAGCTCAGAGAAATACAATTCTTTTTGTATTAGAAAAACTAGAAAAACAAAACGTTTTTTATATTACTGGATATGAACAATACTCTAACTGTGTTAGATTCTTAATCACCATGTCATGTAGGTGTATTAGAGCCAGAACAAAACAAACGTTTTTTTCCCCAGTACATCCACACTCGATGCACGTTTCCGCCCCACAGAGCTGCTCCTATGGAGCGAAAAACAGGCAATGTGTGATAACATGCTGGCACGACAGTTGCTAGGCTATTGCCCTGACAACAGTGAATGCTATGAGGTAATTTAGAGTGGAGGTGGTTGCTATGATACATGATGCACCTAGTGGCCCCACGATAATCATCTCTACGCTAGTAACCCTGATCTGAGGTCACAGCAGTAACTGAATTTACTACAGCGGTGAGCCCGTACATGACAAGATGGCATGAAAGATCTCTCTTCTTCTTAAATTGATTAAGAGCTCCTCACCTGGGGTGATGGCCACTCCGTTGCCGTTGATGACGGGCCTCTCCTCCTCTTCCTCCTCAGGTGGCTCGATGCCAGCCTTCTCCATGTTGCTGACGGACTTGTTGCGTCTGCGTTTGCCCTGTGATCTGGGTGTGGCGCCTGGCAACAGTTGCTCAGCTACATTCAGCAGCAGTGGGCTGGGCTCTGCCGGGGGCTTCGGGGTGCCGTAAAAGTTATCTGCAATCGATCAGACATTTGGGGTCAAAGTTTATAATGTAAGCTCTGTCACCATGATGTCATATATCTATGTATCTATGAATCTATGTATCTATGTATCTGTCTGTCTGTCTGTCTGTCTATAAATACAAAGTTCAAAAGAACAGCATTATCAATAAATGAGGAGCTCTTTTCCAAAACGCGATAAATCCATTTCAATAGTTTTCAGGAAAATTTATTTTTTTACCTAGACCCACACATTTTGTGAATATTCAATTTAGCCTGTTAAAATGTTTTTTCCCCCTCAGTCTGAACATGTTGAACAATGATTATTAAATCAAACAACAATATTGTTGATGATAAATACAAAGTACATTTTATTTTTTCAAAACGCTATAAATCCACAAAAGAAAAATCCAAAAATGGATGATTTTGGCCACTTAATTAAGTTTTGTTTTGTAGAAAGCCTTTCTTTAAAGTGAATTTCGTTTTGTATAAATTGTATCTTAATTCTAATAATTTTTTCATCAACCAATTGCCTGGATTTAATAAATAAGAAGCAAATAGACAATATAACCATGACATGGAGGCGCCGGCGTGATCACTTGTATTGCACGTGAACTGGTGCGCATCTCATCATAAATTAACCGAAATTCAGCGTATGCCTCACAGACATGAGAAATATATCTATATAGAAAGCTTGAAATGTCTTTAAACGAAACAATTAAAAACTAAAATAAATAGCATACTCTCTGATTATGTAATCCATTACATGCATTTCTCTCTAGGCGCGTTCACTACAGAGATGCTGATCGTCAATTTCATCTTTGCAGACACTGACACACAGAAAACAGTTGATTAATAAAAATAAAATAAAAATTTCGATTTTCAAACGATATTCGCCTTTTGCTCCTTGATTGTCAAATGCCATTTTTGGCAGAAATTATAAACAGAAACCTTTGGCAGCAGCATCTACCCCAGGTGTAGGTCTCACTGGCTCATCAAGGCCATCAAAAGTGTTATTACCGTTTAAAGCACTCATTTTGAGGAATGAATGAACATAAACAAACCTCTGTTCAGCGCACCGATGTTGGATTGCGTAGAACGCTCACTGAATTCTGATTTGTCGAGAGAGGATTTATCGCGTTTAGGCTTAAAATTGGTTTGGCGCTTATTGCGGTTCGGAAAAGAACTGCATCTTGCAGTACATTTTAAACAAGGAAATATAGCGATTTGGCATGAAACATTGATGGAGCAGTGAATAGGTTCAGAACACAGCAAAATGACATGACAAACTAATTTTTTTTTAAAATGGCGTTTATCGCGTTTTGGAAAAGAGCTCCTCAAATGTACAATTACCATAAAAAACTTAACGTATTTTAAAGTTTAAATACAATTTAATTAAATAATACAAAAGAAAATAACTGCGAAAGTGAACATAAAAGCAAACTTTGGAATCAAAGAAACAAATGGTCAAAGGGGGTAGTTCACCCAAAAATGAAAATTACCCCATGATTTACGCACCCTCAAGCCATCCTAGGTGTATATGACATGCTTCTTTCAGACGGACACAATCTGAGTTATATTGAAAAATAGCCTGGCTCTTTCAAGCTTTATAATGGGAGTGAATGGCCGTCCTGATTTTGAAGTCCAAAAAAGTGCATCCATCCATCATAAAAGTAAAAGTAAGGCCTTCTGAAGCAAAGTGATGGATTTTTGCAAGAATAAAATCCATATTTAAAACGTATTGAACTAAAATAACTAGCTTCCGGCAGACGGCCTATGCAAGTCGACTTACGTCAAAAGAGTAACCCCTGACGCGAGATCAGGGTTTGAAATGAACTTTTTCACTCACTGGCCAATTTGCTAGATTTTTAGGTTATTGGTCATTCAAAACTTCTACCAGCCAAAACAAAATGATCAGAAATAAACCAGATTATCAATGTCACAAGCTTAGATTTAAATATAATAGGGGTGTAACGATACCCTCATGTCACGATTCGATACATATCACGATACTGAACTCACGATACGATATTATTGCGATACTCCAAGACATATGATAAAAGGTTAACAAAAAATTTACTGTTGATTAAAATGCTAACTTTGATATTACATTAAGGGTTTAAATGAAAAGGCTTGGACCAGAATAAAAATATTCATGATTCTGAATCTGAAAATACAGAATTATTTTAGACAAATATTCTTGCACTTTTTCACTGACTAGATATATATCAAATAATGTTGGACACTTTTTACTGGTCAGGTAACATAAGACATTTGGTATTATCAGGACCCACAAATATTCCCCCATTGCATTATTATACATTATATTCAACATTATATAAAGTAGTTTAATGTAGTACTGACACTAAAACTCTGAAAACTTGAATTTATTTCTCACACAGTAATTTTTTTGTGTGGGGGGTGGGGGTGGGGGTGGGGGGGGGGGGGGACTATCCACGATACATATTGTTGCATTTTTGTATTGTGATATATTGTGGCACGATATATTGTTACACCCCTAAAATATAGCCTATTTATTATTAAATCTGATTCTGAATTATTGTATTGCTTTCAGCTTTATGACAGTCAACCACTGTTAGTGATCACTGTACCATTAAAAAAAATATATATATATAAAGATAACATTCTCTGTGACTTCTCTTATAATTGCCTTGAGTTTACCTGCATGTAGACGCAAAAGACGCAAGGACGCTTTTTGCCCAAAAGTATTTGGCATGCGGCATTTATGAGAACGGGTTAGAAAAAGTGGCCTCTTAATTGTCCCCAAGGGCTCCAGCGGAGCAAACCAGACAGGAAACACTGTGCCATGGACATCTGGATAGACGGAGAGTGGTGCCGCCAGTGTGCATATGATCATAGAAAACAATGTGTTCAAATTTTAAAGACGTGGCACTGTGCTGCGTTTCTCTCAGTGTGCGACCCTATTTACACGTTGTTTTGCTAATGTAGTTTGAGGATCCTTTTAGCGAAAGGTTTCTGATAGCGACGCCATGCAAACAAATAGGGCTGGGCAAAAAATTCAAGCTTCTGTGCTTTCGTCAATATATTTCATGCATCAGGTCAGAGGTCACACTCTCGCCGTAAATCGATGCGTATACGGCCGTCTGTCGGAAGCTAGTTATAGGCCTAGATGATAAAGTTTGAAATATGGATGGATGCGCTTTTTTGGGGCTTCGAAATCTCCAAAGAGAAATCTTGAAAGAGCCAGGATATTTTTTAATAAAACTCAGATTGTGTTCGTCTGAAAGAAGAAAGTCATATACACCTGGGATGGCTTGAGGGTGAGTAAACCATTTGGTAATTCAAATTTTTGGGTGAACTAACCCTTTAAGCTGATGTTAAGGCTAAAAACTGTGTAAGCGTTAATTGAATCGTTTTTAATAATTAATTTTAATTAATAATTATTTAATAGGAACATGCCCCTGCTGTCAATATTCTCATCTTCACACATAGTAGTATTATAATTAGCTTTATATAAAAATATGCCTATGATATGAACTCAGTGTGTAATGTGTTTGTAATAACTGTGTTTTTTGCATTGCTCGATCTGTGAAAATCATGTCCCTGCAAATAAACCAGAAAAACACAAAAGTCCGACACCTGTACATCACACACAAACTGTTTGTCAAACGATCAGTGTGTGAGAGAGTGCTGTTCTATGTTTACAGACTCAGTAATAGTGCCATGGCTCCCCTGGGATGAACAGGCTCTTGAGGAGAGCAGGGCATCTGGTTGAGTGTGCCTTCAATTCTCCCTGGGTCACTACCTGACATGATGATACAGCGCACAACAGCTGTAACTCATAAAAATGGATTTAAAAAAAATAACAATAGAATAAAGCATGAATGAATCACAGATGTAAGTGTTTCTTTGTAGCTAAGTTTATCAAGTCTGAAATACTTGATTCGGATTTATTTATTTCATTATTTTTGGACAACTAAACAACTACATTTTAACTGTCCGACTTCTTACATGACTGTGCTTCTGTTTCCACCTCTTTCTTTAATATTAATATTTTAAATGCAATATTTCATGTCCATTTTGTATTACTAGTTATTGTTGTGATAATGACCGGCTGACTGTAGTCTTAAATCAAAATTTTATATATAATTTTATAATAATAAAGTAATAAAAAAGAAGAAATATAAATACATCTCTATGTTAATATGGGTGTTTCCTCTTTTCTTTTCGTTTATTTAATTTAAAAATACAGTAAACAGTAATACTGTAAAATATTATTGCAATTTAAAATAACTGTTTTATATTTTAATATATATTTTTAAGTACTTTTTTTAAAGAAATCGTTTGAACAATAGTATATATATATATATATATATATTTAATTGTTTAACCCTTGACACAGAACCAGACTTTGAAATTTGAACAGATTTTAATATAAAGAAACTATCGTAAGTTTGAAAGTTTGAACCACCGCAATTGTCATTGTGTGAAATGATTTATAGCAATTTTTACACAAATTTGCCCCAATAATATTTTCTCAAAAGTTAGTTCACTTGGTTGCAAAGAAGATAATCAGAGCGTGCTTGAAATAAACTATGAGCCATGCGATGTGTGAATATCACACAATATAAGTGTGAATGTATTTATTAAAATGTCAAATTATGCAAAAATTGTAAAATATTTATGTATTTGTATACTTGAGTCAGTCAGGACATTACATTTTTTGATTTAAACACTATTTAATATATTCGATTTCAAAACCCTTTGTAAACCCATCACATATTCCACTTATATACCTGACGTTACATTATTAAAGCTGAGCTGAGTTACCGTGCCAGTCACAATCTTTTAAACATGCTGAAAATCTAAATCACCATATGAGCACCAAGGAAGATTTAATGAGAAAAAATACAATATAAGCGAAGAGTTGATGTTTTTCACATATAGAGATTCTCTTCTGTCCCTTTGAGTCACTAGTTCACAGTCAACTCAGAGGGAAAAGTGGCAATGGACTAAAGGAGAGAGAGGGAAATTTATATTTATTCAAGGGATGGAGTTGTTGGACTTTTGAAGTGAAGAAAGGCTAAGCTCACAAGACCCCAGATAATCAGATTCCCTTTAGGGTATTTTTATGTTTCTGCCAATCAGATATTTTCCCAAGGTCTGTCCTCTTTTATTCACAGAGGGTCTCGAAAAACAGAATATCACGAAACAAATTGTTAATAAAGCAGCATTGCCATTACCATAAGCTTATGAAAATAAATTGTCACTTCCAGGGGAAAATGTCATATAATAGAAATGGAAATAGAAGTTGTGGCCACTGGGGATGCCACTGTGGCTCATTATTAATTGTAATAAATGACATGCGGTTTAGAGCGCACAAACAAAATGCTCTGATGAACTTCATGTTTGCTAGCGATCCCTTTTGTCTTGAAGCGAGAGCGCGTCAAACACTTCTAGGGGTAGCCAATCATTATGAAGTCAGAATTTGGCTCCAGCATTTCAGAATGACCAGAGTGAGATGTTTTCTTTTGTTCTCTGAGAGAATTATTCAATCATACATTGGTTGAGGCAAAGTCACATCTAGGAATTTTCTCTGAAAGTGTGTTTCCATTGCAAGTTTTTAATCTAACATGTGTTAGTCTAACAAATGTTTGTTTCAATCTGTCATTTTTATGCAGCATCCCAAAACTTGGATACATGGATAGAAACCCAGCTACTGATATTTTGATCCCAGATATGGTACAGTTTCCTCCTTCAATGAAAACCTATGGACTTTTTTAGCTGACTGTATTGCTCGCCACTTAGAGAAGTAATAGCACACTTCACCTCAAGAATCTCCATGATTTGAGGTATCACTCATGTCCGTAGCACATTGAGTTATGCACCAAAGTTTAATACTTGGCTAGCAGTTGGTTAGTTAGGTTAGGGCTTGCTCAAATCCCTAATCCCAGCAATGAGATATTGGGACAAAAACTATAACTTGATATATGATTGTGCAACTCGGCCAACTTACCTTCATAAGTTCCACTTTCCAACAAAGCTCCACTTTTCTCCAATTCCACAAACCGCGCAACGGTCACAAAGTTGTAGTCTACTCCGGGAACCTCTCCTTCTCTAGGCTGCCTGGTTGTACCTACAGAGAAAAGAGAGAGGTGGGAGTTAGTTCAGGTCAGCGAGCCCCCTAAGGGTTTGAGCCATGGGCTTAATCAGCAGCTAGAAAGCTCATCCAACAACAAAAAAAAGAAGGTTTTTATAGCAACGCTCAACATGAGCCAAACAGAACAGGTGCCCGGGTAACTGGTTCACTTAATTTTTACAGAGTGCCACATATGCTGTCTGACAGTCTGTCAGAGATGCAAAAAGAGAACAGGGGAGAAAGAAAAACAAAATATGAGGCTTTTGAGGTTCTAAGGTGAAAATAATGATGCAACCTTGTCCATACAAAAGGAAACGTACAGTACAAGCCTTGAAAAATGTCGCTTTTCTAAAACTGCAAGAATTCATCATTATGCATCACACTTCATTATTTTGTTGAAAAAAGACATTTATAATGTTACAAAAGATGTTTATTTCAAATGAATGCTGTTCAATGAACTTTTTTATTCATAAAAAAACGTATCACAGTTTCCTCAAGGAAAATGGCTGCTTAAAAATTCAGGGTTGCCATGATAAATTACATTTTAAAATGTATTAAAATAGAAACCAATCTTTTTAATTGTAATAGTATTTGACAAACTATTTTTTTTTTTACTGTATTTTTGATGCAGCCTTGGTGAGTATAAGAAACTTCTTAAAAAACAAAACTTTTGACTGGTAGTCTATGATTAGACTTTCAAAATATGGAGTAAAGTCTTATAACAAAATATGCTGTAGTGACATTTATCACGCAGCACCACCAAAACACTGTTTGGCAGCCATTTAACCCTTGTTTTTGGAGAATTCTAGAAGTCTAGAATTCCTTGAGAATGCTGCAAACAGCTTAAAGGTGCCCTAGAATGTTTTTTTTTTATTATTTTATAATGTTTCCTGGGTTACCCTTATAATGTTAGTATGTTTTTTAGATAAAAAATAATCATAATTTAGAAATAAATGGCATTTTTCCTAGCCTGCTTTTAGCCTCTGATTTGAACACTCTGTTTGAAGGGGCGTGTCTGCTGTGGGATTCAGTGTAACCGCGGCCACTGCTGTGATTGGCTGACATGCTTGCATATGAAATAGCAACGCATTACATGTGAAACTCTCTCCCGAATACTTTTACTACTGCTATTATACGTTTTTACTATAACAGCTATCGAGATTAACGAATCGTGAGATGTTTTTAAAGTATTTAGATCTATTTCCATCACATAAAATGTTGCCGTGATGAGCATTGAGCAGAGGACAGTGTGTTGATCGCGAGAATGAAGATCTTATCATTGCAAAGCAGTTTCTGAACTCTCTCTGCTTTCCCCAATGCAAACACGATGATGTAAATACAGTAAGTCAAGAGCTTCGTTGTGCAGTAACGTGCGTCATTGATTTCATAACGAGTTTGGCAAGTGTCCAGATAAACTCGCGCTGTGTGGAAAGATTGTTCTTTGATCGCTTTCTGTATATAATTTGTTCACAATTTAAATACGATTATTTTCATCCTACTAAAAGAAACGATGTGAAGCTGATATTTTAGTCACTGGCTTGACTTACTGATGCATAAACAGTATTGAACGATTTTGAGAGAAAGATTACCTGTCTGAACTTGAACAATTACACATCAGAAAGTGTTGCTTGGTAGCTCGATCCGAGGCCAGCTCTGTATTGGCCCAAGTTGAGGAAACAGTCGGTGAAATGTTTAGAAATTTCCAGAGAAAATAAAATTAACCCATTGTTTCTTCAGAGGCTCAGATGAAGGAACTAAAAAATACTTTTATGTTCATGTGTACATCCACACTGAGCAACTGCCATGCTTCGGCTGCGCAGTTCCGCCTGGGATTGAGGGCTGGCATTATGCAAATATTTGGAGTCGTACATATTAATGATCCCGACTATTGCGTCACAGTCGGTATTGTGTGGAGAACCGACCGTTTTTCAGGGGTGTTTTTCATAAACGTGAATTAAATGAGAACGCGAAAACAGTCCAGTTTGAGATTCACTCTATGTCATGTCCATGCACTGAACTCTTGTTATTTGACTATACCAAGGTAAATTCAATTTTGAATTATAGGTCACCTTTAAACTAGCCCAGGGTTTCAGAGTCTAGCTGCACCCTACCCCAACATACCTGCCTAGAAGTTTATAGCACTCCAAAAGACCTTGATCACCTGGATAAGATGTATTTAATTTGGATTGGAGCTAAACTTCCTAGAATATTAAACCTCCAGGACAATAATTGGCAGAGCCGAAGCCAGGACACCTCCTTTTGCCCCCTCGTGGCGTCAGCCCTGATAACTGGCCACACCTAAACTAGCCTCAGATATGCTACATCTTAGCTAGCCTTCGAGCTGGTTGGTCTGATTTGCTACTATAGTTTTAGAGGGGTTTATGTGCTTGTTAGCTACTCAGGCTAGGATACCAGCTGGCCGACCAGCTGAACTACCCCAGCTAAAAAAAAAAAGTGTGTGGTGGAAAATGCTTTTTTGCCCCTTTTTACGACCTTAAATGCTAACAATTTCCAAGCTACTGAAAAAGAAATGAACACAAACCACTCCTCACCGAGTTTACAATGAGAACAGTTTAAAGTGTATGTACATGTAGCAAGGGGTTAAAATGCTAAACTGAAGTGTTAATGTATTCCTGCGTCCTGGATAGCAGAGCAGTAATTAGCCAGCGTGGAGCTCCAGAGTTTGTGCTAATTGCTGCTAGCTGAGAAAGCACTGGGGTATTTCTAAACTCTGCATGTTAAGGCAGATCACTGCGGGATTTCCAACAGTAAACACCTGACTCCAGGGTCAATGAAATGACGTTCATTTTTTTCTTCTGGATCTATTCATTTATTCAAAAACACATTAAAAATGAAGTTTACACATACAATAATTTTAATATATCTCTTCTGTGAAAAGAATGTTTTAGTTTCTGAATTCAAATTAATTTTTGATATTATGTTAGGGGCATAAAGTAAAATAAAAAATCAGGATTGTGCAATATCATGATATCATATTGAATAAAAAAGCCTCATTCAAATAATTACGTTTTTGATAGGAAAACCGCATGTAAAATTTGGCATGTGCTTTATTAAAAGTTTTTAAACCTTTTTATGACAAGGTAATGTTCAGGCTGTAAAATGTCACATGGTGTGATTCCCCCAAAACCGAATAATATTTAAGTAAGAAAGTAAGAAAAAATGTCATTGCATTTTTTTATGGTAACCCCAAATCATTAAATATCATTAAATTGATTTAATTACATTAAAACTTTTTTGAAAATGATACAAAAGTTTTTCAAAACCATATGAAACCAATAAGAAAACTAAGAGTGCAATTCTAAGAACAGGCACTTGTCTTAAACTACAATTTTAAAAGATATTTTTGGACACATTGACCCTCCAAAACCTTATTAACTCAAATGACCTGCTCACTCACCCCTTCTTATAAACTAAAGTACCGCCGCACAAACAATATTAGAAGCAAACGACAAAAAAATTCCTTTACCCTGTACTGGTCCAAATACTGGCTGATGTGAAACGGTTGCACTCTCATCCATTACCTGACCCACTAACTGCCGGTTCACGGCAATCAAAATTCAACTAAGCCAGTTTAAAAAACACATCTGACGGCAGAGAGATTCGCACTCCGCTGAGACGGTGGCATCAAAGGGCTGTGGAAAATACCAACCAGAGCCCTACACAGTCATCAAGTCGTGACCAGTGTTTGAAACTCACATCATCTCTTATCATCTATCAGTCAATAGCTACACAATGACAAGCCCCAGAGCCTGGTGTCTTTCCACCCTGAAAGCCTATCATTCAGAGTTATGATGGGCATGCTAATGACAGTTCACAGGAAATAGGGGCAAATGGAACGTCTCCAGTCTTGCGACCTGTGTCTACGCCTCAGAAGACTGCGCAAGACGGCATGCCTCATCACGACAAGCAGAATATCTCACAATACCGCCGACTACCCAAGCGTGTAATAACATAATGAAAAGAAAATGAATCCACTACGACCATTAAATCGCTTGCCAACATCTTCTTAAAGCTCAATTTGTTGATAAATCATACTTTAAATGAGAAAAGCAAATTGCTGGAAGATGGATCGATCAGTGATTTCTTTGGCAGAAAGGCTTTGTTGACAAGGTGCGCATCAATCTGTTTATCTTGAGCTGACACAAACTGTAGCTAGATGCTAACTGAAAACACAACACTTCTCACTGTCTTTCCAGAGAATAGCAGACATCGTTGGTGACTGGCTGTGACTATCATGTCGCAAAGACACTTTAAATCAATACTTGGTCAATTTTGAATGGAGAAGACTGTAATTTACAACATCTAGCATTAGAGAATAACGTGGATGTGCTAAGTAGCCAAACACCGTGGTCTCATTCATGGACCATGCGTATGTACAAATGTGTGTGTGATATCTGTGTACAAATGTTTTCATGAACAAATCATAATCATTCAATAACTTTCATACTATTTTTTAGTACAACAAAAATGTAGGAACAACTGAAACTATGCATACATCACATACTCTTGGTAGCCTTATAAAATATGTTAAGATGGAATTTAAGTTACACATAGCAGGGGCGGTTCATCCGAAGAGGCAATGGAGGTAGTGCCGCCTCAAAAAAAAAAATATATAACGTAATATGGAATATAAAATAATCCATATTACAAAAATGTATCAAAGCAAATGTGACATTAAAAAGTATATAAACCACTCATTTTTCTAAAGTAACACTGTCCAACAGTGACACCAGCAGGTAACGCATCTCTCTTGCCTCCCCTTAGCCCATTTTAAAGCGTGCAGTGGGTTTGGTGGGGGTAATTGAGAAAGTCATGTGAGAGGAGGCAATGCCTCCATTGTAGTATGATTGGATATGATTGGTTATTGTGATAAAACATGCCTCTTGTTTTCGTGCATGTTCGTGAATCGGTCTGAATGAACAACATTTTGGCGTTAATGGGAAAATTACAAACTAAGTAAACAACTCAGCCACTTA